GTCCATACCGATAGTCGTGTGATCTGCACGAGTCCACTGTCCCCAAACCGTATTGTCTTGAGTCTGCGGGTTCGGTCCGAAATGAGTGTAAAGAATGTCAGTCAGTGTCTGCTCTCCGAGGTTGCCGGAGTAGTTTTCGTATGCGGGCCAAGACTCCATCGAGATCTGCGTCATGGTGTTGACGACGCTCTGGTCGGCGTTGAACGTCAGACGGATCCATTGTTGAAGGACGTACTGCGAGTCCAGCGTAGGGTCCCATGCGAGCCGACCGTACGCGTACAGGTTTGACATCGCCATGTGACTGCCAATCCAGGTGTCGTTCGTGCCAACGTTGACGACGCCTGCATATCCACCAAGCGAGTGGTTGAAACGTTGGCCCGAGACAACATTCCGCACCAGGGAGGATTCATTGTCCACACGAAGGTCAAAATCAAGGATGGTCTTCCAAAGTGGTGCGAGATACACTAGGTGACACTGCTGTCCAAGGTACTCTTGAGTCACCTGTAGCTCGATAGCTGCATTGCTCTTCGGGATATTGGCAAACAGGGGCGAGGCTGGTTCTCGGACCTGGAAGTCGATCGGACCGTATTTGATTTGGATGATTCTGGGCCACATGTTAGTATCTCCACGGTACAACAAGTACGCTAAACCTACACGTTGGAATCAAACTCGCCGTCAAGCGGCTTGAAGAATTGAATTTGAGCGTTAGCGCGGTCGGCGTACCAATCCGACTCGTTGAGGTTGTTGTAGACGAAGGCTCTGAACATCACGATCCCGCCATGGGGCTGAAGTGCCTTGGCGAACAGGTTGGCGCCTTGAGCGAGCGTGCGATTGTACGTTAGCGGACCAGGTTGGCCCTGCAATACATGTCAGTATGATAGCGAGGAGTTCAAAATTAATCTACGCACTTCAGAGTTTGCCTTGACTAGGTAGCCAGCCATGTCCGGAACCTGCTGGTAGATCTGACTCGTCACATTGGTCCACCATGTAACCACAGACTCGTCGAGCGGGTCGAAGGTGGTGAGGTTCGCTTGACCCTTTATGCCGCTTGTGGGCGAAGAGAAGTATAAGGAGATGCCGACCTGCACGCCGTACGGCCGCATAACATCGGCGATCCTGCCCAATCCTTCGATATTCTGCGGCGTCAAGAGGGAAGCGTTGGCGTTGACGTTGTTGACAACCACTGCGTTGATCCCAATCGAGGCCAACAAACGAGCATATTCTGCGGTCCGAGTGAGGTTGGACACTATAACGCCGTTGGCGAACCAGTTCGAATTGCCGGCAAAACCACGCTCGATGCTGCCGTCCAAGTTGTCCCATTCATTCGTCCATCTGACTGGAGCATTTGGGTTGCTAGAGTAGGCGACCTTGGTGAGGTTGCCTTGAGCGAGCATGGACAGATAGGCGAACGCTCCGTACAAAGCACCGCGCTCGTTCTTCCCGAGGATCTGGACCGGACTACTTTCCGTGCTCAGCCAGTAGCCGTCCTCGATGAGATCGGGTGTGTAGT